ATGAATCATATCTTTAAATACAAAGTTTATATATTTTAGCTACAAGAGGAGAGTGGTTAGCTAGGGGAGCCCTGGTCTTATGCCTTAGATACTCCAACAGTAAGATCTCCCTTCCCTAATTTCTGACTCCACATGAGCGTTTTGGGTGTTCCTGCTCTTTCCATATTTCAGCATCTCCTGTTGCATTCTCTACAATAACACATAACATAGTATAATGTAAAATATAATAATATAAATAAAAAATTCAACAAAAAGGGTGTGACCCTCTCATAATTGTCATGGCAGGTGTACAGACCCAGGAACGCAATCAAGGTTGTTCAATTCTCCAGCATGTACTGAAAACTGAAAAATCTGCTTTGGAGGACTGACCCTTTAAACATAGTAATAATCAAGGACAAGAGCTGTCTAGTCTTTTTCTGATTAGGGCTGTGTCATCGCTACCCTTGAAAAAGATTCCTCATGTCAAAATGTAGAGGTTGGTTTGACGCTTTTTTAGTACAAAAGATATCTCTAATGATAATTACTAGACTTGTGGAAGTATTTGATCCAAGTAATTCATCTGTCTTGACTAGGGTCAAGCATAATTTGTTTGTCTCCGTGTAAAGGGAAGTTGCCAGCTACCTGATCAACAACTGTATACCTGTGATTTCTTTAAGAATTTGTTGAACTTTGTGCACTCATTTAAACCATGTTAACCACAATATATTACTATGTGGATATAATATTCATGATAAAATATCACTGAATCCTGCTAGTTACAGTTTATGACTCCACCACCATGACATAAATTGTTGCCACATGCTTCTACAATTGGTCAATGAGTGTTCCTTCTCTCCTAGGCTGTCCGAACACAGGAAAATCTCATAAATGGAAACAGCATGTCTCTGACTCTTCTTTACAAGCTGTCATACACAGTGACCATTAAACCAAGCTAAACCAAGTTAATTACAATTTAGTATTCTGCAAATTTACAATATCCTTCACTGTTCTTTTCAAAAAGTGTTAAAATTCAATAAGCACACTAAAATTTATTTTCAGATGACCCTATTGATTGTCAATATTGGGCACCTTGTTTCAGCCAATATGCAATTGTTGAAAACAATTCTCAAATCAGGTGCACTGAATCATAGATAGGCAAAAACTTAAAAGATGTCATGTTTACATATTGTTTTCATGAGCGGGACATTCATTAACCATATCATTAAACGGAGCTTCCATTTCTAGAAAACAAGCTCTAAAGATTTACATCAATATATTAAGCAGGTCAGGGTGGCTGTTTATAGCCTGACTCATCCTCATAAGCAAGCTGTAGCAGTATTATTGTACAAGTAAAATTTGGTAGAAATACTGAATCACAAGTATATATAAGTCATTGTTTTATGGCTCATTTCTTGCAAAATAGATTTTGTTATTGAAATTTATACTAATATGTACCATAACAGCCAACTGATCTCAACTGTAGTTTTACAAGACAGACTCGTAAAAAAAAAAGACAAAACAACAAGTAAACAGCAAACACCTAAAGTTCTGGGAGCTAAAATGTTGGGTGACTGCAATGATCCCCAAACATCAAGAAGGCACAAATGAAAGTAATGCAACCAAATTACAAAATAGCCCGCTAATCTAAACACTTTATTTACCTGGCTGCTCAGTTTACTAATAATACAAGTCATAAATAACTATAATAAACTAAAATCAGGTGTGTGTTCATTTCTTCTATAGGTAAAGGATATATGATCTATATCCAAAGCTTTGAAACTGCTAACACTAAAGAAAATTCATCTTACCAGCATAGAAAGAGCAAAGCAAAAGTAGGATTTTAGCTTTTCAAGAAGTGCATGAAAATCTCCTTTGCAAGATAATAGCTGTGTAAGTAACTGTATTAAAAGCATCTAGTTCACATTTATTATCACGGAGAAAGGAAAGGAAAAAATGCTCTAACCCTATTTCATGGCAATAAATCCAAAGACATGTCTTCTGTGTTTTGCCAGGGTTTGTATTCCATATGCAGGCTGTTTATGCATGTTATCTGCCTTCTCCATTCTCATTCTTCTAGTTCTGAAATGTTTCAAATCCTCAATATGGCTCTTGGGCACTCCAGAGAATGCTGATTTCTGCTAAGTTCCATTGTGGAAGGGTTGTTTAAAAGTGCAGAAGAGTACCGAGCAGTGCTTGCTACTGAAGCATATAGCTGCCTCTAGTTCATATTGATGTAGGATTCACAGTATAAGCTAAGGGAGGAGTTAAATTGTTCACATCAGCACATACAGAGTAGATTAACCACTTCTTAGAATAATGAATGGAAATGTACAAAAAGGCAGACACGTGAATACACTAATATACTACTCAGAAACTATTCAAATTTGCTTGAATCTCTTCTTTTTAGATTTTGTTTGAAAATAAGGTAAATTATAATATGTCATAAAACAACGACATGATTGGGCAGTATAGCATGTCATGAATTTATTGTGACCAGTGGTAGAATCAAACGATTCTGTCGTAGAATCATAGATTCCTAGAAACATAAATATGCTTAACAGGCTTGCACAGATGTTCATAGACAGAAAACATACTCAAGAGCCAGCATGGAAAGCACTTACAACTCGACTGAAACTTTGTTTCATCATTGTTATGCAGTCAGGCTGCAATAAAGAAAATAATTTTTTAAATGTGTAAGTGCTAGAAAAAAATATACTGCCCTGTGCCAGCAGCATGTTGGAGATGTGAACTGCTCCTCTCACATGTGAAGCAGCCCACAAATTCCGTGGTTTGACACATCCCCTACAGAATGCTGGAATCAACAATGTTCATGTTCCCTGCGAACTTCATTGATTGGAGCACGATGCAGGGGAGTGTCAGAATATTGCACTTTATGTGACAGCAGCAGCCCAGATCTCCATTGTGATGCCGGGGCAGGGAGTTTGGTATAGTTCCGAAGCAGAGGCGGACTGACCATTTGGAAACTCAGGCACTGCCCGAGGGCCCGGGGTCAGTAGGGGGCCCCATGAGATGCCCCTGGTACCTTTTTCATAGGCTTTTTTGAGTTTGGGCAAGGACACAGGGGCCCCATGATCCCATATTTCCCCGGGGGCCCCATGAGTTGTCAGTCCGCCCCTGTTCCGAAGCACTGACACTGAGCCTGGGTTCACACTGATGCAGTACGGAATTCGCACCTGTCTTTTGTGTGAATTCCACACCGCATCATAAACACACGGTCTGTATCTTAGGTTAACAACACCTAGAAATCTGTTTGCAAAACGCAGTGCGATGTGCAGAATCGGATCGCATGGGTGTGAATACCCATAAAATCCGATTCTAATGCGGACAAAGAAAAGGGTCCTTCACAATTTTGGTGCAGATGTGGTACAATTTGAACCATACATAATGTATAGCTAAATTGCACCGCACAGAATTCGCCTCGTGATTTGCACAGGAATGTGGTACAGTTCCTGTGCGAATTACACGCGATGTTCAGCACCGCAGAAATGTGAGCCCAGGCTTAAAGTGTTACTAAACCCACAACAGTACAATCAGTCTGTATATGCAGTAAAGCATGTGTGTTATAATCACTGTGGAACTTGAGGGGTTAATTCTCTGCATTGTGTAATAAAGCTGTTTGATCCCGACGTCTCTGATCCTCCCCTTCTTCCAGTGTCCCACTCTTATCTCCTGATAAGACATATCGACACTCTGCACAAGCTCAGTTTGGTGTGTATTGCTAGAGAGGTTTTTTTTTTTTCAGTCTTGTAACTTCTATTAATGTTCAGCAGAGCACTGGTTAAAGATTGTAGGAGGAGTTTTCATTTTGCTCTAAGAGGATGCAGAACCCCTGACCTCTGTCTGGGCAGTGCTGATTGGCCCTGTGCTGATCACATGCACTCTCCCAAGAAAAAAAAAAACCTCTCTAGCAATACACACCAAACTGAGCTTGTGCAGAGTGTCGATATGTCTTATCATTCAGGAGATAAGAGTGGGACACTGGAAGAAGGGGAGGATCAGAGACGTCGGGATCAAACAGCTTTATTACACAATGCAGAGGATTAACCCCTTAAGTTCCACAGTAAATATAACACGCATGCTTTACTGCATATACAGACTGTTTGTACTGTTGTGGGTTTAGTAACACTTTAAACCTGGGCTCACATTTCTGCGGTGCTGAACATCGCGTGTAATTTGCACAGGAACCGTACCACATTCCTGTGCAAATCACAGGCGAATTCTGTGCGGTGCAATTTAGCCATACATTATGTATGGTTCAAATTGTACCACATCCGCACCAAAAATGTGAAGGACCCTTTTCTTTGTCCGCATTAGAATCGGATTTTATGGGTATTCACACCCATGCGATCCGATTCTGCACATCGCACCGCGTTTTGCAAACAGATTTCTAGGTGTTGTTAACCTAAGATACAGACCGTGCGTTTATGATGCGGTGTGGAATTCACACAAAAGACAGGTGCGAATTCCGTACTGCATCAGTGTGAAGCCAGGCTCAGTGTCAGTGCTTCGGAACAGGGGCGGACTGACAACTCATGGGGCCCCCGGGCAATAGGGGATCATGGGGCCCCTGTGTCCTTGCTCAAACTCAAAAAAGGCTATGAAAAAGGTACCAGGGGCATCTCATGGGGCCCCCTACTTACCCCGGGCCCTCGGGCAGTGCCCGAGTTTCCAAATAGTCAGTCCGCCCCTGGCGGAGTCTGTTTACTCCCAGCTGACCATAGAGTACAGCGTCTCTGTGTCTGCTCTGCATAATCTGAGTGAACACAGATGGCTCAGCCGCCTGCTCTGCTCTGATCAGCAGGGGATCTGTTGTTTGCAGTCATACTACATAATAATATGAATTATAACAAAAATATAGCTTCCATATGTGTTTAAAGCAGCCATAGGTGGTCAGATATAGGGTATTATCTGCCCTTCCAAATTTTTTTTTTTGGGACTATTGTTCAAAAACTTCCCGTCCGGCCCAGCCAGACGGGAGCAGTGCAGGAGCGGGTTGCCGTTCATAAATGGCACCCGCATTTGCAGCCTGTGTCCACTCTCTGGGAGCACGTGGCACCCTAATCCGGTGCTCGCTGTGTCCTCAGGAAACAGCGGAACACCGATCGCTGTATCGCCAATCAGTGATCACATGAATAGTAGTAAGCAAGATGTCACTTCCTGACATCATTGCTTACTACTAGTAAAATCTGTGAATGATCACAGAGGTCACATGGTACAGGGCCATTCACAACAACCTTGTACCATGTGACAAGCTGTGACCAACCGCAGCTCACAAAGTATTTCTCAATAGCTGCAAGAATGCAGCCAGAGAGACGAGGAAATGATTGCGTTTATAGCCTTTATGGGTGTAAAAGCAATCAGTGTAAAAAAAAAAAATCTTCATCACCCCCCACAAGTAGTACAGTGTCACTATGGTGACACTGTACTGCTAGGGTGACAGTATGTTAAAAAAAACAAAAAAAAACAACAGCATAAATAATAATATAAAAAAATAAAATAAAATTGTAAAAAAAAAGTTTGAACTATTATAATTTTTGGTTATAAACTAATATGTGTTTTTTTGTTTTTACTAAAAAGATAACTGAATACATTTTGGCCAAGATTTATGAAGAAAGATTATTTATTTGCACAATTTTATAAGAAAAACACTTTTTTTTTTAAATTTGTGGACTTTTTCATTTATATAGCAAAAAAAAAAAAAAATTCCAGTGGTGAATAAATACCACCAAAATAAAGTTTTATCTGTCTCAAAAGAAATGCAAAAAAAGTCATATGGGTACAGTGTTGCATGACCGCGCAATTGTCATTCAAAGTGTGAAAGCTGAAAATTGGCCTGGAAAGGAAGGGGGTAAGAGTGTCCGGACTTGAAGTGGTTAAATATGTACTCTGGAGTTTCTTGGGCATCCCGGTTTCTGCTTACTGAAGTGGTAGTTGAACCACTGTCACTGGCCTATGGAACTGCATTGTCTTGGAAATCGCCCCGACATTACGGTTTGATCTTACATCTGAGTTCTGTTGACTGGGGGTATTTAAAAAGGGTCAGAAGATCATTATAGGCATACAAACTAAGCATTTCTTCCAAAAATGTCTGCATTAGGAACAGGGGCGGACTGACCATTTGGAAACCCGGGCACTGCCCGAGGGCCCAGGGCCAGTAGGGGGCCCCATGAGATACCCCTGGTACCTTTTTCATAGGCTTTTTTGAGTTTGGGCAAGAACACAGGGACCCCATGATCCCCTATTGCCCGGGGCCCCGTGAGTTGTTAATCCGCCCCTGATTAGGAAACAGTAATTATTATAACTAAGGGTGTTTAGCTCAGGAAGATGATATGCAATAAGTTGATGTCTAAGCTATTTTATGGGGTAGTACATACCAAGTATAAGAAGTGTAAGGGTAAGCTCAGGGTTCAGTAGGGATTTCAAACTAAACCTTTTCTAAAACGTTTGTGCTTGGCATATGTGGATACTCTATATATTTAAAGTAGACAACGTGTAACTCATGAGCTGTATTCATTCTGTCACATATCTAACACAAAAAGATAAAAATAGGAACTAAGAAATGCCTCAACATTCCTATTACTTACATTCTTCAGTATTTTCAAGTTGTGTGGGGGGGGGGGACGCCAGATGACTGACTGATAGAAGCCGCCATTGGCAAAATAGGCCCCCTGGGTATGGAGGTTCCAGTGCACACGGAGTGATAAAAATAGATCACATCTTCTAGCCACCTCTTGGTGCCTGCTTTCCAAGCTGAACTGTAGGCAAACAGCTAAATTCACAATTGAAGTACATATGTGTGAACTGTCTTAAAGCTGTATTAAATCTGAAATCAAAAATGTGATGTATTGCAGCTTACCAAACAGGGGCGGACTGACAACTCATGGGGCCCCCCGGGCAATACGGGATCATGGGGCCCCTGTGTCATTGCCCAAACTCAAAAAAGCCTATGAAAAAGTTGCCAGGGGCATCTCATGGGGCCCCCTACTGACCCCGTGCCCGAGTTTCCAAATGGTCAGTCCACCCCTGTTACCAAACATTAGATGTTGTGATTGCATTAGTTTTCTTTTTTTTCCCCTCTGTTTTCACCTGGTGATCTGGACAGTAACATACCTCCTTTATTTTGCTCCCATTCTGGATGGAGCACAGGGGCACCTTTGGACAGCAGCATTGTCAGTCTGGGGGGAGGGAAGTGTTAGATGCACTAGCATATCTAACTAGACTAACAAGTTGAAACCAAACTCCAGTTCACAAACTCCAGCTCACACTTTATAATCAGCTACAGAAAAAAACTTTTTTTTCCTTTTGGGATAAAAGTTTGACATTATTAAATAAAATCTGATCATTGTAAGCACCTCTTCCAGTGTAAACTGATACATCTGCAGGAGAGCTTGTTCTTTGGAAAAACAGACTTACTGGCTGGATCATTAGATGAAAATAGAAGAAAGAAAGCCTAACAAAGAAAACTATTGCAGTCATTACATGTATTCAAAGAACAGAGGTATACCGCTCAGGCAAACAATCCAGATCAATCCACGACAGGTGTAGGCTCTGACTCTCCACCACACAAGATGCAACAGGAAGAAGGGTCAGCTGCACACCAGAGGAATGATGAATATAGTGTATATTTATTGATCCATAGGACACACAAAACACCAGGACATGTTAACGCGTTTCACACGATCTCGTGCTTAAGCAAAAATTAAGATTAAGCACAAGATCGCGTGAAACGCGTTAACAGGTCCTGTATTCATGTCCTGGTGTTCTGTGTGTCCTATGGATCAATAAATATACACTATATTCATCAATCCTCCGATGTTTACGCTGACCCTTCTTCCTGTTGAGGCATTACATGTAACAATTGGTAAGCTGCAATATAATAAATGTTTGCTTTTGGGTTTATTATCAATTTCTCTTCCCAAGGAGGGACCCTAAATGTTGGTAGTGCCAGTGTTATCCTTGAAAATTGTAAAGGATTGTGTTTTATTTTTATAACAAACATGTTATACTTACCTGCTCTGTGCAATGGTTGTACACAGAGCAGCCCTGAACCTCCTGTTCTGTGGTCCCCCACCAGTTCTTTCGGCTCCTCCTCCCATCCAAGTGCTCCTATAGCAAATCTCTTGTGGGGACATTCGTGTGGCTCACAACTGGGCTGTGTGCATCTAATGACATTCACAGTGTGCCTCGGCCCTGCCCCCAACTCTCTGCTCACAGGATTTGATTGACATTGGCTGCCTCTGAGTCCTGTGAGGAGGAAGTGTCTGCACATACTGTACATGCAAAGTTCCAACACTTCCATTTGGTATTCCCAGCTTACCATTTCCTTCCTCCCCTACACATTTCTATTGAACCATAACTATGAGGGGCTGCCTCACTGACCATTAGGAATGTGCAGAAGGCAGGAGATGCAAGAAAGCTTTGACACTATTAGGAAGTGCAGAAACTATGCCTGCCAGAACAGTCTGGTACTTGACTGTGACTGTAGCCTTTTGTAGTATGTTGCAGGTACAGTTGCAAGAAAAAGTATGTGAACCCCTTGGGATTACGTGGAGTTTTGCATGAATTGGGCATAAAATGTGCTCTGAACGTCATCTATGTCACAACAATAGAAGAAACACAGTCTGCTGAACATAATACTACACAAACATTAGATGTTGCCATGGTTTAATTGCACATAACATGTAAACATTCACAGTGCAGTGAGGAAAAAGTATGTGAACGTTTGGACTTAATAACTGGTTGACCCTCCTTTGGCAGCAATAACCTCAACCAAACATTTCCTGTAGTTGCAGATCAGACCTGCACAACGATCTGGAGTAATTTTGGACCACTCCTCTTCACAAAACTGTTTCAGTGTAGCAATATTCTTGGGATGTCTGGTGTGAATCGCTCTCTTAAGGTCATGCCACAGCATTTCAATCGGGTTGAGGTCAGGACTCTGACTGGGCCACTCCAGAAGGTGTATTCTGTGCTGTTGCAGCCATTGTTTTGTTGAATTACTTGTATGCTTTGGGTCATTGTCCTGTTGCATCACCCATCCTCTGCGGAGCTTCAGTTGGCGGACAGATGGTCGTACGTTTTCCTGCAAAATGTCTTGATCAACTCTGGAATTAATTTTCCCATCAATGACAACAATCCATCCAGGCCCTGAGGCAGCAAAGCAGTCCCAAACCATGATGCTCCCTCCGCTATGTTTTACAGTGGGGATGAGGTTTTGGTGTTGGTGTGCTGTACCTTTTTTCTCCACACATAGTGTTGTGTGTTCTTCCCAAACAACTCAATCTTGGTTTCATCTGTCCACAGTATATTTTGCCAGTAGTGCTGTGGAACATCCAGGTGCTCTTTTGCAAACATCAAACGTGCTGCAATATTCTTTTTGGACAGCAATGGCTTCCTCCGTGGTGTCCTCCCATGTACTCCATTCTTGTTTAATGTTTTCCTTATTGTAGATGTGTCAACAGAAATGTTAGCATGTGCCAGAGATTTCTGTAGGTCTTTAGCGGACACTCTGGGATTCTTCTTTACCTCATGCAGCATTCTACGCTGTGCACTTGCAGTCATTTTTACAGGACAACCATGCCTAGGGAGAGTAGCAACAGTGCTAAACTTTTTCCATTTATAGACAGTCTGTCTTACCGTGGACACATGAACATCAAGGCTTTTGGAGATACCTTTGTATTTTTCCAGCTTCATGCACGTCAACAATTCTTGATCGTAGGTCTTCTGAGAGCTCTTTTCTGCGATGCATGGTTCACATCAGACAGTGCTTCTTGAAACCAGTAAACCCAAAACAGGTGTGTGTTTTTTTAAGGGAAGCTGTCAGCAACAGATCCAATATCATCACACTGATTGGAGTCAAGGTTGGCTCACTCCTGGCTCCAATTATTTCTGGGAGAAGTCATTAAGCTAGGGCCTCACATACTTTTTCCTCCCTGCACTGTGAATGTTTACATGTTATATGCAATTAAACCATGGCAACATCTAATGTTTGTGTAGTATTATGTTCAGCAGACTGTGTTCATCTTGTTGTGACTTAGATGATGTTCAGAGCACATTTTATGCCCAATTCATGCACAACTCCACGTAATCCCAAGGGGTTCACATACTTTTTCTTGCAACTGTATATATCAATATATGTAGGTATATCAATACTACATATTGCGATAAAGTAATACCCACTAGAAAATCAGTGAGACAGTTCGCTAGGGGAGCCAGAGTGCTGCATTGATGGGCCCTTGTAACTGGAGGAGTAAGAAAGAGGATATATGTTGTAAACAGC